CTCCGCCCCCCATGACCCTGGTGAGGATGAAGGTGTAGAGATGATGGATGGGTTCAGCTGCTGATGTGTGTTTTATTAAAGCAGTTCAGTTTCTGAAACTAAGTTCTGCTGTTCTCGGCTCATTTCAGAACCACGATCACAGCTGGACTCTGGTTGGTTGTTGTGAGTTCTGCTTTGGAGCCCGAAGTTTCAATAAAGTCCGTATAAACTGTGTTCCTCAGCGGAACCATCAGAGCTGCTGGACCTGGGGATGGAGGTTGAGCCACGACGCTGCACGTCCTCACTTCTGTTCCATAACTGACATCTTATTGAGCTGTTAGCCAGCTAGCTAAGTTGCTAGCTAGAGGCTAATTTAGGCCCACTCAGTCCTCAGTGGTCTCCAGTGTTCCTAGAACGCGTTCTTCATGCCCATTTTGAAACATCGCAGCAGGAAAAAGGTAACTGAGTTCTCACAAAAATTCCCAGATTGGCACAGAAGTTCACATCCACGCTGTTATGGAAACACAACTGAGCTAGCAAGTTAGCAGTTAGCTCTCCAGCCTGAACGAAGAGGAAACCTACCTGGAAGGTGTGAAGCCAGTCCTGCAGGCCGGACGGAGGCGGGCCGGATGTGACCCGCCGCCGCCGAGCCGAGTGCCCATTGGCTAACCGCAGGTCTCCAAATGTGGTGGGCGTGGCCTGAACCAGACCGGAAGGACTGCAGAGAGGTAGAGGGTACAGGTGAGCATCAGTAACTGTAACTAGTACCTAGTAACTAGTAACTAGGACTGTAGTAACTACATGCAATGCAGGTGCATTCAAAAGGTTCATTGTCTTTAAAAAAATCACCAATATGACACCGTTTGTCAGAACCAGAAACTGTAAAACAGAAAAAACTATTTTCAGCTTTCAGACGCTCCCTCAGCTGCTCACCTGTACAGAAAACTAACCACATGTCAGGTAACAATGGGGACGTTTCATGGCTACCTGCTACACAAGTCAGACGTGTAGAACTAAAGAGCTGCTCACCTGAGCGGTCCGGTGCCCTTGCAGTGTTTCTTCCCTGAAGGGAACGTCCGTCCGTCCGGACCGTGGTCCAGCTTCCTCTTCATCTGGACGGAAAACACAAACTGGTGAAAAGTGCAGCAGAAACACTGAAGCTCTGGAAGAAGGGAACAGAACCCTGTGAGGCTCTGAGTGGACGGACAGGTGAGCTGCAGCAGGTGTCCTTCAGCTGCAGACACCAGTGGCCCTCATGAGCTGCTCAGGAGGTCCATCACCTCCACCATCTCCATCACCTCCACCA